GATGTGTCATTGGATCTTGATATAAAAACCCACACTTATGACATAATTCCATGGTAGTCAAGCTACGGATGGTAACACCTATTGTCATTATATATTGTATACGTATATATTCTCTGTATTGAGGAAAACGAAGCGCTAGCTTCCATAAAGTATTAGGTTTGAGTTGGTTATGTATTTCTCGAAACCTTGTAAAATCATTATCAACTTTCATACGTTCCTTTAGATTGGGTCCCTCATATTTCATTGTGACGTCATACAGTAGTAGTAATATGTGAGATATCTTGATATATGTTATCGCCCACGTGTTTACACACAAACACGTGTGTATATTATGTCAGTGTTCACTCTTATTTTACAAAACAAATATAATCCTGTCATTTCAGTATTATATAATTCAAAATGTTTACTATATCTATGAAATATTGAATACTTCGATCGTTGTAACAACTTGCCTCCCTTATCTTAAGACAAATATTCAAAATCTAAAAAAAAAAGAGCTTGCTTTAATGAATGTATACCCTTATTGTTTGATTTGCGAAGTTCCAATACATATATACTGTGCAGAGTAAAAAAGAAACAGCCTAGAGAATACCAAAGTTTCTTTGATATAAAAACTGATGAAACCACGTATACCGGAAGGGTAAACGTCTTCTACTTCATCAGCATTGTAAATCTAGGTCAAATCCACTACTACAAAAGCGAGAATCGGGTTGGTAAACATGAAATCGCATGGCACAATAATACAAAACATGGAACTACATGTCACCCATTGGTTATGATCATAATTTGGGGATCATCATTATTTATGCTATCCTCAGGTTTTTTTTCCAGTTTACATGTTTATATTTAGAAATTGTGATTTATTGAAAGCAAATAGTTTCCGTTTTCCATGTGAACCTAAGAAACAGAAACCTTAAACAGAAACCTTAAACAGAAAGTAGACTTTCATAATGAACGATTATTGCTACTTTACTGTGAAATGTACCTCCTGTTCACACTGTGATGACATAGCAATGAGTGTTTGGGCTGTGATATATCAAACGAAGGGAGAGAACTCTTACGGAAAATTACAAGCATAACCGGTAGGGTAACTAGCATATACCAAGTATAATAAACATTAAGTCGTTGTCAATACACGACCAGCACATTGCGATCACATTGTCTTGCCTTTATGATCATGACTAGCTTAGAGTATTCTGTGTTCGGTGGATTGAAAAATGTTTTGTCCGATTGAACAGAAAAAAATGGACGGTTCTTTAGATCATGTTTGATATGTGTAAGGGTTTCATAAGACAATGATGCAAGATTTCAATTCATACAAAATATTTTGTATGCATTTTAAGATATGATAGTGAAGTATCAATATCGTTGACCTGACATGGTATATTTGACAATTATCTGTTTATTAATTAAATATATAACAATTTGTATATTATCGAAGTGTTTGTTTCTGTGTTTTCTTTTTGTCATTGGTCTACAAACATCAACACACAGAGAAATAAAAACATGCCAGTCCAGTTTACCTTTATATACTCAATAAAAGCTCTTATATGTCTAGGAAAATTGGGTTTTGAGTTATTTCCGGTTTAAAAACATGAATATGTTGGCTTTCTAACATAGAGATATTAAGGATCATTATATGTTTACGGAGTGAGAGAAACCGTGAAATTATAAGCACAAATATTTCTATTTGACAATTTCCTTCCCATAAATTACACATTTCAGCTATAATTTTTACCTGTCGTATATATTTAGTATTATAAGTTCGTTATAAATCTACCAACTACACCTCGGCATCATGTGTGGTGTTTTATTACAATAAATGTATGTTTGTAACAAATCAATAAATTTATAAATCGAACATCGTTTTTTAAGGATATATGGTACTTAGCTTTGACAAACCTGTCTTTTCATAATGAGTTCCAAACTTTTAGCGGTATTTGATAAAAACTAATAGCTAAATTATATGATATATACAATATAGCAATATATACAATACCATTATATGTGAAAACCCTCTGTGGTTCAAAAGTGAAATTAAAATTGACAGAAAATTTACTTTCAAAAATTCATGGTTTATAAAGGGATTACAATGTGTATACAACATTATTAAACATGATTGATCACTGTACCAGTTTGAAGAATTTCAAGATAAATATAATATTAATACTAATTTTTTGACAAAAAACTTTATAAGATATTTTGATATTTGCATTGATAACGGTTATTATGAATAGTAAGTTCATATCCTGTATACATTGTAAAAACCAAAGTTTTTACCTAGATAGTTTCGCAGACGGACCATAATTTCGGCCACAACGCTAATGCAATAGGAGTTACCTTCCCTTGTCACCCCAGTGGTGAAAAAGCTGGCTAAGCTTATAAGCCTATTGGTCTCTGTTAATACCGGGGCCATTTTTTTCTCATTAGATGGATTTCTTTCACTTGCCTTACTCATTGATTAGTTTTTGTGTCCAGATCTAAATCTGTTCACAATCTCTGAAATATTTCTCTTTATTTTCAGGATCTCGTTATAACACATTTGTAGATTTCCTTTTCTGATTTTCTCTATTCTGATCTAGTAAAATGCGAATATTGCAAAGTAATTTTACTTTCACCAAGTGTTCTTTATAGCGCACTCCGAATTTCCATCCCGTGTCCTTTATATATAGTTCTTAAAACTAATTTTGTACTCACAAATATACATACATCTCTGCTGGGACGTTTATCCTGTAGATGCATGTAGTCCTGTGGTTTAAAGCTTTCAGTTTTTTTGCTGGTTGAGATCCTGTGTTTTTTTAATTTCCCCAGAACGGACCGCTGATATTTCCTTCAAACCAGGTATAACTGTATTTCCGTTCGTTTTCATCTACACATATTTTTTTTCTTCTTCTCATCCTTCTCCAACGGGTTGTGCTTGATCCTTTACTCACCAATAATCCCATCATTTAACGCTAATATTATGTCCTGTTCCTTTTTTTAATCTTATCATCTGTTTCTGTAATGTTGTTGTATCTTCCTTAAACATGTCCTCACTACTCCCGTCTTATGACAGACGGTTTCTATGCATAAGGGGGAGGTAAGTACCTGCCTACTCACGGCAGCGTGTTACTATGTAACCAAATAAACTGTGTTAATACATAATATCTCGAATTGTGGTGCTATCTGATATCTCGAACTTTGTTGATACCTGATATCTCGAACTGTGTTGATATCTGATATCTCGAACTGTGTTGATATCTGATATCTCGAACTTTGTTGATATTTTTGATATTACGAACTGTATTGATACCTGTATCACAAACTGTGACGATACCTGACATCACGGATAGTGTTGATACCTTTTATCACGAATTGCGTTGATACTTGATATCACCAATGAAATGATACCTGGTATTTCGAACTTTGTAGATACATGATATTACGATCTGTGTCGAAACTTGATATCAGGGATTCGGTTTACATATAACTCTTTTGAAATTTAATATTTTCCCCTCTAGCATCGCTAGTTAGGCTCTGCTACGGAAACTAATTATTTTCGTTGCATTATGTTAAGGATTTCTTGTTAGTACTCGGCGCCTGTTTTATGTACGTATTAGTGCCTAGGATATTCCGGAATTATTTGAGACAACACAGTAACGTGTATTGCCATACACAGTAACACTATACTTCTATGGAATATGGATATTTCTTATTTTTAAATTCCAATTACCTGTACTCCAAGTTCTGTATATAATTCTAAAATAATATATAGTAAAACTAATCTAGGAGGAATTTTTGATGTATATTAATGTTGTACATAAAGAATTGTAGATAATGCGACCACAAGTCTCTTAAGATAATGATAGGTAAAATAAAACATATATACCACAGCGCCAACATATATATTTTCATAAAGGTTTAATACCTTGTCGTAATATTATTATTAGTACGAAAGAAAATGTTAAACCTACGGTAGCAATAACTGTGAATTTGAACGGTTTACGATTTAACACTAACATATTTTCTGAATATTATAGCGATTTTTTTTATATTCACTGACACTGACATTAACGTTAACTTGAATAAATAAATTCTGTATCAATTTATTTTCTTTTTCTTACTCAAAATGATTTTAATGAAAATAGTACTGCCTTAGATTCAACATTGATTCCTATCAAACAACGCATCATGGACGAGAAAAATACGTTACAGATGTATTGGAGGGTAAAAATAAACGTTTTTTTACAGACGTGCCATTAAGCCTAGGAAGTTTGACAAAAATTATCTATACAAATAATAGTATGTTATTGACTTTACGGATAACTACAAAAAGCAATAACATATTGTTGTGGAGTAGGCGCTTAGCATACAGCGTTTTATTAAAACACGGACTACTGTCAGGATAAAACCATATCTAAAAGAAATTTCTGTATCCGCTAAACAAACACAACAATAGGATAATACTATTACCTTTTAATTTGACAGTATATTTACTTTGACCTGAATACATATCGCCTTAATGCTTTGTGATGTAAACACTTATTATAAAATTATTAAAACATAATACACAAGTAAACTTCTCTAAAGCATTCAGTTTAAAATAATTCATGTTAAACTAAATAAGTATAAAATCGACCATTGACTCACTAACATCTTTAACATAAGTTCGTAGCAATTTATTCGGAGTAAAATCTATTATCAGCGTTACTTTCTGTAGTGAAATCTATCAGCAGCGTTAATTTCTGTGTGAAATCTATCATCGGTGTTAATTTCGGTGTGAAATATATCATCGGTGTTAATTTCTGTGTATAATCTATCATCGGTGTTAATTTCTGTGTATAATCTATCATTGGTGTTAATTTCGGTGTATAATCTATCATCGGTGTTAATTTCGGTGTATAATCTATCATTGGTGTTAATTTCGGTATGAAATATCTCATCAGTATTAAGGATGGCATTGTCTGCAGTTGTTAATAAATGTTAACACTGTGTAAACGGAGACGTTTACATCGGTAACCATGGGAAGTGCACCGTCGAAGGAAGAGGACCCCGAGGTAAGCTCTAAACAACTGGTAATTTTTTTAATACTGTTTTTAATTTTAAAAGTATGTGAATATGTTGTCAATCTTTGAGTAAACTCAGTTTTCTAAAATTATTTTTTATATATACAGAAATATTCATTGTTTTTATGGAACAATTAAACATATCATCTGAGGATATTCTTACACAGCTATGCGATTTAACAAAGAAAATATTTATTCTTGCCGTAGTAGTTAAATATATGTTCGAAAAGAGTTAACATTTTACGTGAGTACATATTATATACAGTATACCACTTTATTACATATTTACTGTCCTACACACTAAGAAAGCATTTGTTATACACATTATATTGCTGAAAACATGTTTTTTCTCTCTCATTTATACAGGTATAACCGTATATGGGTTTATTTTGATAGTTTGTAGGACAAAAATATTTCAATCATGATACAGTTGTTGATAAAATCAAAAGCAGACTAGCCGAAACAATACCATCTCCTAAAAATTATATCGATGTTACAGCTTTATGTAATTGTAGCATGAATAATTTTTCTAAAAACTTTTATACATATCACCAAGGTGTCTGAGCTGGCCATTGAGGAGGGTACGATCACACAGGACGAGTACCCTCAAGCCCTACCACCCAGAACAACTAAACTACAGGTCACCAAAAGTGTCGACTTCAAAACTATTGACAAGTTTGCGAGCAATGTAAGTTTGAAGACGATTCGAAGATTGTGTCATGGTACTGGCCCTTAAGAAAAAACAACATGATAATAAATAATGTCAGCAGGATTGTCATAATCATATGAAACTATGCCGAAAGGATAACCAAAAAATAGCCCTCTTTGGAATACTTAAAAAAAATAACAACTTGTATTTACATTTTCTCCGCAAGTTCCTCTATAAGCATTGCCAAAAGGAGTTGCGTTTATTGGGCTATGAACGCACTTCGATCAGTGTCATTTTGAAGCTTCTACTTCCGCTTCGAATAAGGTGAGAGAAAGAAAAGTTATGACAAACATTTTTGTGACTTAAGCTGTTCCAGGAATCTCGTTTGCACTGACAACACCAACACTTCAATTTCGAAAATATACGGAATATCTATATTTATATTAATAATAACTATAAAGAATAGAATACAGATACATGTATTGAACAGCATTTCATCAACAGTAAACTACTGCGTTCAATCCTTATGTATTTTCTTAGAAAATGATTTTGTTTTACTTTTACACCACTAAACTATTTACAACAGGTGCCGCCAACGCTTTTGTTTGGATCGTTTTGGGATCTGATAGAACACCTGGTGATGGCGGTTAACTTTGATGTCCTAGACGACATGTATCGCGCCAGGGCGTTATTTAGCTGGATGACTTCTTACAACGTCAACAACATAGACACTGATGTCATTCCGCCGGAAGACTCTCCGCTGGACTACTTTACTAAAATCAGATGGGACTTCGGGGACCATGCACATTTGTTATACGCCTTATGTCTGTGAGTCTTTAAAAAGGAAATAATTTGCATTAACTGGTCGCCTTAAGTTAATATACATGACATGCAATAAGAAGATATTAGTGGACATCAAGATAAACTTTATTGCATTAAGAAGTCCCGTACCACTGCCAAAAATGTTACTACTCATTGCAAACTATTTTTTTAGTCATGACTGTATATATCATAAACAATTTATAACAGCCAATCAAACTTTGTGGGACTTTAACGAAAAAATGATGAAGATAAAATGAATGAATTATAATCCATAACAGTGTTCTGAGTGTAAAATTCAGCAGGACTAGCTCGTAATTCGAAGCCTTAAAGTGTAATTCAGATGTTATACCATCCTCCAAACGACTGAACTATCTGGTCAACGGAAATGGCCCAAATGTTCAACGGTTATATCCAAATCAAAATTAAGGGGAGGTAACTGCTGATACGAAAAACCAGAGCACAATTTGGCAGGGGGCCATATTCATGGAATTTTCGTTTCGCAGAAGAAATATTTGTTAATTTTGAATTTAAATATATATTCCAGAATGGCTAAGCTACCATGTGTCATAATCAATGGGGTGACTAAACACGGCGGATACAATATCGGAGATCCGATCGACAAGAAACTCCACGGCTCAAGATGGAACGCAGTTTTGATTAATGGCGAATGGCGTCTTATTGACGTTTACTGGGCAATTTCTACCGTAGACGATGGGGGCAAGCACGACAAAATTTACGTCGATTTTGACGGCAACATCAACGTGCACTCAACCGTCAAAGACAATGAAAGTGTTCAACGAATGAACGAAGCATTTTTCATTGCTGATCCTGAGAATCTGATCTATACTCATTTCCCAGATGACCCACAGTGGCAGCTTCTGTCTCAGCCCATCACACTAAAGCAGTTTGAACGACAAACCTATATCCGAGAGAGATTTCACGACATGGGGATAGCTTTGCCTCAAAAACTACAAGATAAACCCTGCGTGTTACTCTCAAAAGGAAAACCGGTTCAGATACCACTTGATCTACCGGAAAAAAGAAGCAAGGATTTTAGATTCAAATACACACTTGTGCAAACCGCAGGCCTTCATTCGGAAGACAACAGACCGAAACCTGCACTAGAACGATTCGTTATGATGCAACATGCTCTCGATAGAGTTCAATTTACCCTGCATTTTCCATGGGAAGGTATGTTTCGATTTGATGTATTTGGTACAGATGTTACAAGGTCGGAACTGTTCAGTCTGATTATCTCGTATGCAATAAAGTGCAAAGAAGCAACTCCAAACTGTCAGGCTCTTCCAGATATACCGATGTTGGGATGGGGCCCAAATCCAGTGGCATCAGCTGTCGGTCTTACTCCAACGACATCTATCGGGGCAATCATCAGCACAGACACAGGGACGGTTGCCATCAAGTTGAAAACGAAGGGGATAACAAAACTAACACACACAATGAAGAGCCTACAGGTTGAGGAGGCAACTCTAAGTCGTTATGCCGTTTCTGAGACTGGCAAAGACACATGCACAATCAGCGTCCGAATTCCAACGAATGGAGAGTACGGACTAAACATATATGCAAACTCAAAGGAAAAGGACAAGAGGAAAAATCAGAACAAAAATCTTCTGAGTTTCCTAATACGATGCGATATGAAGACTGAAGCTGAAACATCACCATTTCCAAACGTGTTAGGGAATCAAGTCGGAATGAAGTCAGGTGCAACTGAACTCGGTGTCGTGCAACAGGGCGATAACTGCGATAGAAAGGTCGCTGTTAACGGCAAAATTACATTGCAATTCGCTGTGGCAGAGGATGCCTCCCTACATTTTGAACTCCACAGCAACAATCCACAAGGTAAAAACACTATGGCAGGAGTAGAAAAGAGAGTGGACAACATGTGTGACTATGTTATGGAACTTCCTGTTGCTGGAATGTATGCGGTGAATGTTTTTGGGACACGGAATGTGGAAAACGCTACCATAACAGAGGTATATAGCTGTATAATACAATCAGAGGGAAATGGTACCGCCGCCACTATTACCGACAACAACAAACCTGGCCTTAACAAGAACAAAGGAAAATTCAAAACACTTGACGACAGTAAACACGGGTTTAATAAGACCATCTACACAACAACTGGCTCTGTTAAGGTGCCAATGCCTGTCATTGCTGGAGAGGTGTTTCCATCGTTGAAGCGAACTGATGCGACTGACGAAGGGGACAGTGTTACAGCCACAGTACTTGTATCCGATGGAAATCAGCTGGAAATTAGAATGAAAGTATCCGGTGATTACTTACTGGATCTGTTTTCAAAGGAAAGCACAGGAAATATCAAAACAATTGGGAGATACACCATCACCTATGACTCTGGGTCTGACACTGATTCTGAAGAACAGTTAGAAGAGACAGCAGCTGAAGAAGAGGGTCATGTTCTTGCATCGGGAGCGCTGCTGAAAATTGGAAAAACAAACCAGACTGTAACGAAACCAAAGAAAAAACAGACTAAATCGCCTCCACCAAAAGAAGGTAATACATATAAAAGTATAGCTTAATACATGAAAAATAGATAATTCTTTTAAGCGTTGAAGAAATAATTTTCACCATATGCTTATATCAAGCACAGTATAAACTACTATATTTGTACATTTGTGACATGTGACAAGTGTAATGGCACCCAATGTGTCTCCACAACGAACAATGCGATGGTGTCATGAATTCAACGGAAAAGTTAAATATAGGTACTGGTATATATTTGATGAAAATATTCCAGTAAACCTCATTATTTGAAGTACGAAGTAAAATGCAACCAAATTTCTGGTTATCTTAATTTCACTGCGGCTCGTTTCCTAAACATGTGTAAAGGGTATTAGTTTGAGATGTTTGACATGCATGGCCGGAATTTCTAGAACTTACAGACGTAAGTACGGTTTTCCTGTCACTCATGTTATTCTTCACACATACCCCTTTTAACCGCAGTTCTTTCCTTTTCTACGCCAAGTCTGAAGTTCATTGAGTATTTCTGTCTGTATTTCAGTGCCCAAAAAACCACCACAAAAAGTTGAACCTATGCGGAAACCTCCAACGAAGAAGGATTTTGATCAGTTAGTGAAGTTTCTAAATCGCCAGTATAAAACAAAGCCTATTCCAGCTGATGTTGGTCTTGATGCCTGGTTCGACGCCAAAGACAAAGAAAAGGCTGTGGAAGGTATTTTATGTTTGTCAAAAACGCTATGAGATATATATACAATGTTTACTTTAAAATGTACATAATGTGTGACTTTGCATTTGCCCAATGGTTTTATAAATTTGCTGTTAATAAAGCACTTTTTTTTATGTATGAGTTTAAGATTTCAATTAGAAGGCATAAGATGATGTTCATTAAAATATACGTACAGCATATATTAATGATTTCTAAACTATCTATAGAGGGCATGAGTTAGTTTCTTCGTTTTTTGCAAATCACTATGGAAGTTTTGAGTCTAAGTTTACTCAATAAACGCACTGGCTCTGCCAGTTGCTCAAGCAATTCATTATCCAAATTTCTTACTAACATTCCCATAACATTGAAATCAAGGTAAGAGTCGTATTTTGACGCTGTAAACTCCAACAGTAGAATAGGCCGTGGATTTTCATATAACTCATAAGATCTTTTCAGCAATCTTTTACATACTGTACTTAACAAATTGCTTCTATCAGAACATTTGTATGGCGAGCCAACTTAACATTTATTCAAGGAGCAATGTCGATCCTGTATTTCATCGAATTATATAAGATATCTTATATAGCATATGATATATCTTATATACTATATAAGATATCTTATATCGTATATAAGATATCTTATATCGTATATAAGATATCTTATATCGTATATAAGATATCTTATATTCTATATGAGATATCTTATATAGAAATTAAATGAGATGCTATATAAGATATCTTATATGATATATAAGATATCTTATATCGTATATAAGATATCTCATTTAATTTTCTATATAAGATATCTTATATAATATATAAGATAACTCATATAGCTATATAAGATATCTTATATAATTAAAGTCTCGTTACTAAATAAGATATCTTATATAGGAACGAGATTTTAACAAAATGTCGAAAATGAAGTCTCCCCGTCCGGAATATCTCGAGTATTATGTCTGAGCCCACTTCAAGAGTGCGGGAAATGGCAGCCTCTGCTTTGGCCGCTATAAGAGAGACAAGGCGAGCTAGGCCTAGGGAAAATACAGCATCCCTACCATCCCTCTCCGCCATTGCGCCCAATGCAATCCTGAATGTGCTCCGAATGATTCTCGAGGGACAAATTAGTTTCTGGTTTTTAATGCCACGAAATCTCATTCTATATCAGATATCTTATATAGCAACGAGATTTCAATTATATAGGATATCTTATATAGCTATATGAGATATCTTATATATTATATGAGATATCTTATATAGAAAATTAAATGAGATATCTTATATGCGATATAAGATATCTTATATAGTATATATGATATCGTATATACTTATATAAGATATCTCATTTAATTTCTATATGAGATATCTCATATAGGATATAAGATATCTAATATAGGATATAAGATATCTAATATATTATATAAGATATCTCATATAGTATATAAGATATCTTATATACGATGTAAGATATCTTATATATTATATGAGATATCTTATATAATACATCAGATATCTTATATCCTATATGAGATAAATTATAAACTATTGCCTTAAATGAATAGCTTTTAAAACGGGTCTGGCCGAATGTCATATCATAACATGTATGAAAGATGTCGAACGCTGACGGACAAACTTACACAGGTTTCGAGAGATGCAGGTTGATGAAGCAAGTTAAACTGTTGCCATCATAGTTTCATTGAGGATAGTTTCATTTCCTTGCGCGATAGCACATGACATTATGTCAAAGACGAAGCACACGATGCGTATCCTTCTAGAACACCTTGGGTTCTTGTTGTAATTTTCGTGTACGGCTTTCCGAATTATGGTAACGATATTAAAGTTTAGTACAGTTACACCCTTGTTACTTTTATCTTTTCACCTTCAGCCAGCAGTTTAGGATATCTTCAGAAATAAAAAAGGACAAACTTTACATTTTTGTATTCTTTTGTTTCGAGATGAATGATAGACATGTTCATGCATGAAGTTTTACAAGCTCAAATTTAAAACTTTCCTGCTTCAATACTTGGCCTTTATATATAACCAATTACAGTGTAGACCTTTCATAACTCTAATTATATATCTATTGTCAACACCTCTATATACATAGATGCTAGTGTGTAAATGAATTCCTTTGTACCTACACTAAGTGTCTTTTCATCGCTTTGTTTTAGATATAACTAAAGCGTGTAGCTTCAGAAAAGCTGTTATGCTTGAAGAGGCTATAGAGCGAGCAGTGGAGGTTAAAGCTGTCAGTGATGAGAGAACAAACTTGGATATGCAGATACGAATGGCGGCTAGGGTTCTCAAGACAGTGACCAGAGTGGAGAAAGATTTGATTGAGTGCTATGGCTTGCATTTGAAGTCGATGTCAGAAATAAAGCGTTATCAGTCACCTCCCCCTGGCGTGCATCACGTGGTTGCCGCAACATTTCTTCTACTAGGGGAGGATATAGAGGACTTGAAAGTGAGTTTGGGTTATTACCTAATATGGTCTCTTGATATGGTAAAATGACGTGACAAGTAATAGTTTAGTGCTTCTCACTCATTAGGAGATGTATATGATATTCTGTTTTGTTCTTATTATTGTTGTGATAGTGTTGTATTTCCACGTTAACCAAGCGCGAGCATGCATTGATTTGTCTATCCGATGTGATATTTGTAGTATCCAATTGTTTTGTCATTTATGTTGTTTGAAATGGACGCATATATCCCATACAGCTGTGAAATACAAAGAAACAGTCCACTGCATTCACAAATCTTCCACATCACATTTTGATAAACGGTTTATAAAGGTTTTCATATTGCCCTAAGCTACCGTTCCGATAGATGACCGTGGGTAGTGGTTTCTATATTAGCATTTTCATATCTCATTTCCATTAGAAATGGTCCCTGTGTAGACGACTGCTTTCCCAGATGGGAAATCAGTTTGTGTTCCGTAGAATGGCTAAGCTGGATCCTACGTCACTACAACCTCTAGTGATTGAAACCGTCAACCGTATTCTCCAGCCTTTTACCGCTGTACAGATCAGAGAAGCGAGTATGGAGGCAGCCACTCTTCACGCATGGGTGAGTGGTATATATAATTCTTCATTTAATTAATTATATTTAAGGATCCCTGTACCACTGCACAAACTGTTACTACGCTTTAGAAACTATTTTCCTGGCATGAATCAAATTTTTGAAAATCATTTCTGAAAGGAAAACCATGCCGTGAGGGACTTTTAAGAAAAATAATTAAGATGAAACGAACAAAACAAAATCAATAGCACTGTCATGTGTGTAAAAAAGTTCAAAGGGGCTAAACCTGGATTCGAACCTTGGATTTCATATTGTTATACTACATACTCTTTCTCTAGCCGACTGAGCCACCTAGTCAACGGAAGTCCTCTCGCCCAAAAGTGTTACAGTTATATCCAAAACTACATTAAGGGGAGATTACAGAATAAATGAAATCACAGTGAAGTGGGAAAGGCATCCTTAACAAACAAATAAATAATATTGGCTGAGGGTTAGCGTGACGATACCCGAGATTTTTACTTTGTTTTACCGGTGTTAATGTGTTTAAATATCACATTTCGTTATCATCTGGAAGAAACCGACTTATATCCCTCAACACACCTCTTACTCGGTGTCTACACTTAATCCTTATCTGTTGCATACATCTTTACTGTGCATTCTGTATATGGCGCGGATACTTAAAGTTGTAATGATGTCTCATTTGTAAAAATTTAAGATGCCATAATGATTAATGAAAGACTTGATTATGCCACATGGTTTGATACCGAAATACCATGTGTTTCCTTATACTTATCGCAAACTATTGTCAATTTCGTTGTACTGCAATATCACACCACATACTATTATAGCCTTGGTAGGTCAGGTAGGTATTTTAACAAAGTATCCCTTAACCTATTTTCCTGTTTCAGATCATGAGAGTTGTGAGAGAAAATGAGAATAAAGAAGACCCGAGTCCATCGCGGCATTCTCATATTCCTCCGAGGTCCTCCACCATGCAAGAATGAATACCTCAACAGACAACGGACGTTTGATTGACTTTAATGTTTATTAAGTACACTGAGCATTCAATTGATGGTCAATGATTAACAATGACACTTATTTATTTACAAAGATTTATACAAATAATGAAACAGACATTTTAAACTTTATTTCATGTTCAGATGATCATTCATGTATGTCAGATAGGAAACTCGGGACATAGATAAAAGATAGGAATTTATTCATTTTGAAAAAAACAAAATATCACAAATGTTTTATGAAAGTGTCAAAACACAAAAATACAACAAGATATATTTTCTTATTAAGATTGTAGTAACTTCAAAGTGTGATACACTTCTTACCTTTCTTTTGTAGTTAAATATTTCATCTTTGTTTAGAAATGTAAAATATAATAAATATATGTTTTATAAAAATAACAACATTCATCACAGGTATCTGTATACTCTATATATTAAAATGAAAATAAAAATCATGTTTAATGTTTTCTATAGTTATTACATTTTTAGAAGTGATATAAAAGATTATTTCAACATATTATATATTTCATCAAGAGAAATACAAAGTTATCAATCTAATAAATGACCAATAGGAATAGAGATCATCGTTTCTTGTCAGGACCTGGTTGAAACAAGCATAAAATAAAGAATGTTTGTATCAACTGAATTTTACCAAATAATGTTAAACTATAAATAATGTCTAATAAGAATATGGTTTTGATTCATTGAAAATATATATTACCAGAACAGCAAATGGGCCAAAAGATTTCCTCTGGCTTGCTTCCAACAGATGATCATACGTATATATCACGTGATCTCGTACATCTTAACACCTTTTTGTGCATACCCTCTACCTGTTCACTGCTTGATGAAAGTGGCAGAGTACATATCGTACCAGTCATCGAAACATCACATATGATCGCTTAACTGGTTGCTTAATGAACCTGTATAAATAGACATATCTAACTAACCAGAAGAAAATATTTCAAAGTAGTATGTTCATAACACGAACTCATCATAGATCACATTGGCATAGAAAAGAAAGTTGCTATGTGAAGATAGCCCCGCTTCTACAGGGCCCCAAACATAAGTCGCCTTTTACGACATGTAGAGGGATTCAGCAGGCCGATTCTTGTCTCAAACCTGCAGTAGTAATAGGATGGAGTAAAAAAACATTTGTTTAATCCAGGGACTACAGGTCGCACGACATTAACTGTAAAACGTATTACTCTTTTCAGATGAAATGCAAAGCTATAGTTTTTTTTATTATATACAAAATTTATTATACAATTTAATCAAATACTTGTATACTATCTACGTTACACTCAAGGGATCTCGGGATTTAAACTCGACATGAAACAATTTAAAGAAAAAATACAGATATAAAAACTAAAATATTACCAGCAGAACCTTCCACAAAATCTCGAGCGGTCAAGGTATCGAACGCCATGATGTAAAACACGGATAAATGTCTTAATCATGGTTTAAACTGCAATCAAGAAGCTTAAAAGTAAGGTAGCTTGAAAGGAGGTACTGATGTCAATTTCATAAATATATTATAAAGAAACAATTGCCCTTATGTTAATACAAAAACTGTAACGCAGATTTATATTGGTCATACGTCTTTAAGTATCAGTCTTTAAATACACAAACGTGCTGATAATTATGTTCTGTGACAATGACATTACTATTGGAGAAAATGAACATCGAAGTTCATTGTGTGTTGATATTATTTATCGATAAATTAAGATGTTATGATTTTCCGCTTTGTACCCTATATATTTCACGAATATGGAAGAATATATCAATATTTTTTACGTCTACAAAACACTAGTGAAAAAATCGGTCCATTCCACCATATGAGTTCTTTAAATTCAATTTTATGTTTACAACATTTTATATGCGACCAAACACGAACATGTTACATATAAAAAGGGGAGGTAATGTAAAGCGTATTCCTTGGCGCCATATTCTAATGAAGTCTGACCAGAAGAATCTCGGGTTTGAATGCAGTGAATAGAAAGTACCGTTCTAATTGGTCAATATCAAAGATGATATCTTCACACTTTCACCGATTTTAATTTTGATATCTGACATAACTGTGGTATATATGTTTTTTTCAATTGGATAGAATTAAATATCTCACTAGAAAAAATTAGCCGAAACACACAGCAGTTGAATTAACTTATCGCCACAATCATGCCAAGTTTGCTGTTCAATATGTTATTACAACGTAATCAACGTCCAGCCTTCGTTAGTGAGTATCAATACAAAGGGTATTTTGCACAATTAATCAAAGAAGAAATTTGCACAGGACATGTTTATAATTTTGTTTCATAACTCATTCATGATTTTAAGACATACCAATGTTCGGAGGCATTAAATAACTGGAGAAAAGGCATAAAAACCTGGCAGAAATACAAATACAATAATAATAATAATAAAATAAAAACAAAAAACAAAGATAAAAATAACCACACTCATTTTTGAGCATATCAGATTAAAAAGTCCACATAACATGTAATAATATAGTGTGAATTAAATGATATCTGTGTGTGTTGCACTACTGAAAATGTACCGAATTTCATATTCTGTAGTTCTTTACTTCAACAGATAATAAAAGCATAAACATATAACATGTATCACTTATCGGATCAAAAATACATATTTATGAATAAATATAATTTATGATTCACAGTTTTGTCTTTGATCATGCTACATTATGGACGGATCTCAACAAGGACATCATTACAAATTTGAAAGGAAATTGAAATATGAGAAATGTAATGTTGGTATGACATACATGTAATGAGATTTTGTTAATTCTCATTCACACTTTGTTTGTTATTTCATCCCGATTAATTAAATGTAGGGTCAACATTCGGCCCCCGCTTCAATTTCTTGTTCTTGTTTCGCCATATGTAGATACATAAAACTGAACATTAATATGATTATTCATTATTACTACTGATGACCGTAGTTGACCTCCTTGCATGACACCAGGTTGAGTGACGAGGGTATCCTAACAAAATGACAGATACATGTCACAGGCGAATGTAATTTTGGAAATGCATTATGATAGTTTATAGTGTATAAAATTACTGTTATTTTGGTTCTAAATATGTCGTATTGGTAAACATTAAGTAAGTGTAGTGATACTTTTTATTAGAAGAATATGCAAATCTTTTATAAAATTAAAAATATAACTAACATTGTCAACTTGCGTATATATAGTTAAAATGATAGTCTATTTTAAATGCGTTATTATGGCAAATACTGATACATTGTTTTGTGTTTGAACGATTCTTAATCACTTTATTATCGTTTTAAAGTTATGTGCAGCAGTAATAACTCATAAATATGTATTCTGCCAAAGCAATATTTCCCCTGGAGAACTATTTAAGGTTATATCATCATCGTGTGCAACATATTCTAACTAATCTTTTGATACCATTTAAGTGCTCTAGGAGGAATTGTACTACCGCACTTTTAACACCCCCACATGTGTAAGTCAATGAGGTCCCATTTGTCATAAGATGAATTTCGAAACTAACTGTTCCTGATTTAATGTCCCTATACCCATACCGTTTTTGTATTTATCTTGTTGTGAAATTCCTAGCGGGGGCCGACGATAATGTTAAATCTCCATTGGCGTTGACCCTACCTTTGTATTTTTTTTGATATTCACCGAATACTTTTTAGCATTAATATGAATGAAGACACTTTTACTAATTCAAATACTTAACGAATGTTTATCACATTCAACAAATAACTTACAAATCCTCGCAAACATGTTATTTGGAGATTTTTTTTGGAAAACGATATTCAGGAAAATTAGGAGACTTTGTCTTCAGTTAATATATACCATCAATATATTTACTTTATAACATATCATCAACATGTTTCAACGATCATGTACATCGACACGTTTCATATCTAATTCTAGCATTAACACAAGCCTTCTATCATTTTACAGCAGCACGTGTCACCTATAATGTATATTCAACACCTATCACCAGAAATATGACATTCTGTGCAAAATATCGGAATGAGAAAAAGAAAATATATGAAAAAAATTAAATTTAACTCTATATAAAAAAAGCACAAATGTTCCACCATTGCATGTAATCTATAAAATACTATCGACAAGTGTCATCTAATTATAGCACCAACACGTATCATCTATGATGTTCCATCAACGCATATTATCTATAAAATACTATCAACACGGTCACCTAAAATATACCACCAACGTTTTTCACCTATAATATTCTATTAAATCAATTCATCTGCTAAATACTACAGCACGTGTCATATATATACTGTACCATCAACGCTTGAAATTGATGGCGACCTAACGTACACATATCAAATAACAAGTTAATACATAAATCTAGAATGAAAGTATATCTTTCTAGAAGTATTTTGAATTATTCCTTATTCCTTAGCATTCTTTCAGTAAAATTGAGTAAACAGTATAGGGTGGTGATTAATTGATTAGCAAAATAAATTAAGACAAGCTTAAGTTGACAACAAAATAACTTTTGATCTTTTTCTGACATTCGACCGAACAAAATTGACCGCACAGTTCGGACACCAAACTTCACACAATGTCATGATGATATCATCATACACAAAAATGTGTCCTGTCAGAAACAGCTAAAATCAACATTCGCAATGTCTGTACAGAATTCCTCAGATATACGTCACTTCCTGTCAATGTCATTATAGAATTCTCAAGATACACGTCACTGTTTCTAAGTATCTTTACAGAATTCTTAGATATAACTCACTTCCTGTCAGTGTATTTATAGAATTTCCAGATACACGTCACTTTTTCCTCAGTGTCTTTACAGAATTATTCAGTTATACGCCACTTCCTATCAATGTCTACATAGAGATCCCCAGATGCACGTCACTTTTTCTTAATGTTTTTTTTTCTCTCCAGAATTCCTAAGATATTCGTAACTTCCTTTCATTTGTAGGCTTGTGTACGTTCCTCCTTGTCCGTGTCCTTGTAGAACTCTTCAGACGAAATTCCCGAGGCGTCGGCCAAGTTCCTCTTTTTTTCTAGGACGCTTTAGATGTGGTGGGAAATCCTTGGCGTCTACGACACAGCTTCTCCTCCAGTATAACTCTAGCAGGCTTTTCCAAACAGCATCGCAATTCAATAGATGCCTGTTCCCTTAAATAAGAAGCGATGTTATCATTATTGAAATTTGTCTGTAGTCGCACGACACATAAGAAGATTAAAAGATGTTGTAAAACTAATGACACTCAGCCAATGTATATTCCTTGCTGTCTACGGGAAAATGTAGTAAGATTTAAAGAAAATACAACATGACTGATCTATATTACAAAAATTCTATTTAATTCTTTATATCGGAACTCATGTCAAATTATGTGTAACAAATGAATTTTATAGGAATGAAATAAATGACTAATTGTTTAATTCAGTTTGACAGATTGTTGATACAACCACCCTGAAATTACTCATTAAATATTATATGTTATGAATTACCAACAGCTGTGTGTTCGAGGTGTTTGATTACAGAATACTTTGTAATATACTTTTATCCAAATTAAATGTAAAACGAGGTCACAAGGTCAGAATTGCAGCGTAATTATTGTTAGTATTACTTTTTATCTGAAACACGTTTAGTGTTTAGTCACAACAAAAGTGAAAACAGAAACGCCAAAGTGGAACGGCCGAACGGACGGGCATGGATTTTGCTGTATGCATTATAAGAACAGTAATGTTTAGAAAGATAATACTGCTTAAAATTATTATCAAACTGAATGTGCGTCAGTTATGTCATGGACAATGACCAATGTTAGCATATATCTTTGACTTAAATTATCAGAATAGTTTTATTTTTTCCAGTGACGTAAACAAACTTTTCAACAGTAAACATGTGTTAGTATAAATTATATCAAATTTGTATGCATCCGTTACCATAACAAAGCGTATACACCACGATTATATACCTATTTTTACTTTTATTAATACTATAATGGCAACTATTTGCAATACATGAAGAATGTACTCAGAACGTCGATGTACATACATATGATTACGAGACCTTTCTAGTTCTTTCCTATGATGTCGAGATCTTCATAGCTCTTACCTACGATGTCGAGATCTTCATAACTCTTACCTATGATGTCGAGATCTTCATAGCTCTTACCTACGATGTCGAGATCTTCATAACTCTTACCTATGATGTCGAGAACTTCATAGCTCTTACCTATGATGTCGAGATCTTCATAGTACATACCTATGATGATGGGATCTTTGTAGTTCTTAATTATGATAATGTGATCTTTGTAGTTCTTACCTATAATGATAAGAGCTGTGTGTTTATTAACTATAATTAAGAGGTGTTTGTATTACTTACCTATATGCATTATTAAGCTTTGGTGTTGAGATATTTGTAGTTCATACGTATTATGATTAGATCCTTGTAGTTCTTGCCTATGATGACGAGATCTTTGACGCACCTACATATGATGACGAGATCTCTGCCGCACCTACATATGATGACGAGATCTCAATATTACTAACCTTTGGTGTTGAGATGTTTGTAGGAGTTATTTCTGATGACGAGACCTTTTCAATTATGATAATCTGACCTGTTTAGCAAATACATCTGTCGATTAGAACGTTTCTTTTACACTAATAACGAGATCTTTGTCGTACCTATCTTTGATGATAAAACTTTGTATAAAGGTATATTTGCAGGACATAAACAGATCTTTGCACATAACTATTTGTCACGTTTTTGGTGTGCATAACCATGATAATAAGACCGTTGTTATGCCTACCAAAGATGACGAGATCTGTATAGAAAATGCAATTATGATGCCTCATTTGCAGTACTTACCTATGATGACGAGGCCTTTACGAGCCCTTGAAAGCGCCACGTTTATCTGGGGCTCGTCAGTGATGAAACCGAGGTTTTGTTTACACCAGCCATGTGTTGGATTGGGTTCAATTCTGTAGTCGGGCAAGGATCTGACGGTACTGAAAATCACATAGTCCCATTCTCCACCTACATTATTACAAAAAGTAGCAACGTTAGTGATCGTTTCTATTTCTTTTCGTAAAACATGCATATCATATAAGTCCAAAAATAATATTAGCAATGAAAATTACAAATTTCATTTAATTATGTATTCTACATGTCTATCAAAGGAGAACTACTGCGGACATCTTGAAGTTATAAAAGATTTTTTTATGATGTTATAAAGATTTTTAGTTCAAAATTCATCAAACGCAAATATGAAAAAGGAATATAAAAATTACATTAATCAATAATGATAATAAGGAAAACAATGTACCCTGGCTGGCAACGACAGTATGGACGTTACTGTTGATGAACTTGGACTCCAGTAGCGCCGTCTTAATGGCGTGACACTGGGCGTTATACTGTGATATAATGTTGACGGACCGCGGATTCACACCCTCTTTGGACACTATGTGTTTGAAAACTTCCACCTAAAAGCAGAAACAGCAAATTAGGGAAAACGAGAAGAGAGAATAATGCTGACAACTAAAGATATTTTATGAAATATGGTTCAATTATTTACTTAAGTCATCCCTTACCACTTTTTTAACTTCCGCCTTATTGCTGCAGGATTGATCATTCCCCTCCTCAGTTGAGACCGTCAGATAATCTTCCATGCCCTCGACATGACAGAAGATGTGTGGAATGTCTTGGAATTTCCATATTCGCAGAGGATTCGGCTCAATCCATGCCGATGATGGCGCAGTCTGAAGTTTGTTGTTATAAAACTGAGCAGAAATGAAGTCGCATAGGCGTGGATTCTGAACAAAACAAACGTAACAAAGGTAATGGAGTCTCTTTTTGTTTTCTAAAAACTGATGCATTGGTCTTTACGTAATGAAGTTAATCGTATTTAAGACCTATGCGTATAGAAAAACCTTAGCTTGTTCTGGATGTTTGATTGACGAAAGGTTGCGGACCTGTTGAAAGTACTTGTCGAATTCCTTAATCTCAACAGCGTACGGCTTTCCCTCTTGTCGAATCAAATGGTGCAAAGCAATGTCATGCAGGATCTCGTCCGGTCTGTTTGCTGTATTTCTGGACTTGGAGGAGTACATCTTACCTGGGATTGGGTAGTCCATACATTCATGCGATGCTCCATACATTCTGATCATTCTCGGAGCCAACTCGCCCAGCTTCTTTCTGGCCCACTCTGAAAACAATGTGTTTCCCCATATAAAATGTTCATTTAACATATCAATGTATTGCGTCTAAATGAAGCAAAACAGTCGCACACATATACATATCGACGTTAAATTGATATTTTATGTAGATCCTATACATTGTATATCACAGTTTTGAGTACAGTAGTTGCCTTGAAAGGTTTTAAGAGTCATTCTTTGGAAACTGAAAATGTGTTGTTTTCCCAGATTTTCATGAATTTGCAGTACCAGATCGTTTACTCGATAGATGCACATAGTTGTGAGTAGTCATGCTCGTAAAAGTGATTTTTTATTTTCTTATGCTTGGTTCTTTAGACATGAAGCCAAAAATATCAAAAATTTAGTTTTACAAGAGTAGCATTTTGTGATGTTATCTTAACAGGTATAAGAGAGATAATGATGATGTTTTTTTTAAAATTATAGCTGTCAGTGATACGCGTGTTTGTTATCTTTCAAACTTAACTTCACTACTCTCTGATAGGTTAGTTTGGTGTAATATTACCAAAGTGATGTTTGTCACCGCAGAAAAAAATGTCTACTGTCTAAAGTTGTCAAACTTTATCTTTCATTTGTAAAAATAATTGATAAAGTATATCCTATTGTTTGGCTTATTCGATCTAATCGACCATACTATTTAATACATTAAGCTTGAAGAAACAGCAACTATTGTACGTGTTTTATAAAATCTGATATTACAGTTTTTCTCTATTACAAAGATAGATATAGAACAGACATGTGAAACTTATCAAATCGCGGAAAATCTTTGAAAAATAAACAATTAAAATATAAAAATAAAAAAAACAAATAATCGCGAATTTTTGATGATTTCAATATTAAAGATACCATGAATTTGTCAATAACTTTCAGCTGATTANACATAGCAGCTTCTGTCCTTCTGTCAGTAACAATAATGAAAATGGGTGGATTATTTGTGCCATTTCGCTGTTTAACCCCTTACCTCCAACCCCCGAGAGGGAGACGAAAGATTAAAAATAGGTTCAAAGTGACATATTTTCACGCCTTTTCGGGCAAGAAATCTCTGTCTTTTCGCCTCGACAACACGACATTGACCAACCCTTAATTTTCGTTGTTTCGCTTCTTCGCCCCGAAAGACGAGACTTAACAAACCTTAAGTATCTTGTTTCGTCTTCTCGCTTTATAATTTATTGTTTTTATTCAATCTCCTTTTGCCTCGAAAAGACAAAACAACGAAAGAGCACAAATCTGTCACAGTATGAACAAATATAATTTACTTACCAAGATGTGAAAAAGATCGTCTATGGGTTTAACTATTAAAATGTAATGTTTTTATCAAGCTCTCAAAATATATAAAATTCAATTTGGATGATGTTTCCACGAATTCTTTCAGATACATAATATTTAATTTTTGTTGTCAAATACAAATAGGAAAACCCCCATAGTATAATTGAAACAGGAACCGAGGATTAAAGCAAAAACAAAAAAATATAATTAACTCTACATGTTATTCAGTTTGGAATCATGCGTACCTGTCCGATTCGGGTTTGGAGAGGATCTCCACACTGCAAGCAAGAGTACTTGAACCAGTCAGTAACTGTTGCGGTAGTCGTGGGCTTGAAGCATGAAGCGTAAAATGAACCTCGATTTCGCTTTTTGTACTTGTTATCTCTTCCACTTGACCATGAGTAAGCCATATTCTTTTCGCTCCTGGAATCCCTTTGCAGTCTTTGCTGTCATACGAATGTTTAACACATAGGTAATCCAAGCATGCGACGTATTTTAGTTCATCTATTGTTTCATCAGCTTCCNATTCATCAGCTTCAGCTTCGTTCAAAAGAAAAGCTAGAGATTGCACACGGTATACAATGTTTCTTTCTTCACAGAAGTTCTTTTTCAGTACAAACGATCCTTTGTTATCATTGAACTTCACCGGAAGGTCATTCAGTGTAACTGAATCATCTCTTGCAGCTAGTGTCGTGTTTTCCATGCGTAATAATGGCAACCATGTCTTCAGGTATTCGTCTATTGACTTGTAATCAGTAGATTGAACAGCCTTTGTTGCGTACCGGGCCAAGTATTTTACCGGGTCCTGTGGGTGCTGCAAACAAAATTTAACATTGTCTGTTAACTCTAGCAACTCCGGGTAGGGCGCAAAAACGCCGTTCTGGGACTGTGCACCAATTTGTAATGAAACGATTTG